ACAATTAAAGGATTAAGAGAGCGACTTGAGAAACTTGAAGTCCTCAAATATGTTTGCAAAAATTGTCTTTATGATAATGCTGCAATAGTCAAAGTTGTATTCTCCTAAAACTTTGCTGGAAAGTTATACTCTATTCTTTGTTCTAAGAATTAGCACATAAAAATTTTCACCTAAATTTTGTTAACTGTAAGCTTATATAAACTTATTTTTGTAATACAGTTGTGTTGCTTAACAACTGGAATATATTCTGAGAAATGCATCAATAGGCAATTTGTTCATTGCGCGAACATCATAGAGTGTTTTTACACAAATCTAGATGATATGGTCTACTATACATCTAGGCTGTATGGTATAGCCTATTGCTCCTAGGCTATAAAACTGTACAACATGTTACTGTACTGAATACTGTAGGCAATTGGAACACAGTTGTAAGCATTTGTGTATCTAAACCTATCTAAACATAGAAAAAGTACAGTAAAGATATGGTATAAAAGATTAAAAAAAAAACGATATACCTGTATAGGGCGCTTACCATGAATGGAGCTTGCAGGACTGGAAGTTGCTCTGGGTGAGTCAGTGAGTGAGTGGTGAGTGAACGTGAAGGCCTAGGACATTACTGTGCACTACTGTAGACTTACAAACACAGTAGACTTTTTTTTTTTTTTTTTGGTGTTACAAGGCAGTGCTCTAACCAGCCAAAAACACTGTCTACTTAGGCCACACTAAATTTATTTAAAAAAAAATGTCTTTAATAATAAATTAGCTTACTGTAAAATTTTTACTTTATAAACTTTTTAATTTTTTAAAACTTTTTGACTCTTTTGCAACAACACCTAGCTTGTATAGCTGTGTGAAAATAAAAAAATATTTTCTTTCTTTATATCCTTATTCTATAACCTTTTCCCTATTTTTAAAATTTTTTATTCTTTTAGTTTTTAAACTTTTTTTTTTAAAAACTAAGGCACAAGCACACACATTAGCCCAGGCCTGCACAGGGTCAGGATCATCAGTATTACTGTCTTCCATCTTTACATCTTGTCCCACTGGAAGGTCTTTGGGGCAATAACATGCATGGAACCATCATCTCCTATGACAATAATGCCGTCTTCTTTCTGTAATACCTCCCGAAAGACCTGCCTGGGGCTGTTTTACAGTTAACTTTTTTTTTTTAATAATTAGGAGTACACTCTAAAATAATAAAAAGTATACTGTAGTAAAGACGTAAATCAGTAACAGTTGTTTATTATCATTATCAAGTGTTATGTACTATGCATAATTGTATGTGCTATTTTATTAATGTCAGGCACAAAAATTATTATAGGAAAAATAATTTATTATTTTGTAAAGAATATCCTGTATAATATAGGAAACTAAACACAATATTCTCTTAATATTTGGTTCCCAGAATGGATATATTCAGATAATAGTTATTGTCAGTTCATTGCTGACTAAATATACTTTTAAAAATTCTGTAAGGGCAATGGGCTTGAGTGTATTTTTGTGTTATTGATTCCCTCTTTTTAGGAAGTTTTTACCTGATACAATGGTTTTGAGACTTTGCACATTTTATATTTTAAAAAAATACCTTCCTTGTGATGGTGGAATGAGTCTAATTATAGTTGATACCAAGTTTGTTTATAGTCATTCTATTTAATTTATGCCCTTATCTCATACATTATCAGTAGAGAAAGCAGTTCGAATTCACAAGGCATCTGTATATGCATATGTATTTAATGGTTTTTTAAATTATTTCCCTAGGAAACATAACTTTTGCAACAATGATGGAAATTCTCCGAGATAAACCAAGTGGTATTAATATGGAGGGAGAATTCCTGACCACTGCAAGCATGGTTTCTATTTTACCTCAAGACTCCAACCTTCCTTGCATTCACTTTTTTACAGGGACTCCTGATCCTGAGAGGTGAAGGCACAAAATACTATAAACTAGCAAGAGGTCAGGGGGTGGGGTAGAATCATTAGTACATTGATAATTTTATCAAGCTAAATTTTTGTTATGTAAATAGGACAATAATTTTTTTGATGTATCTTCTGTTCAAGTTTTAGTCTGCAATTTCCATACGTGCACAACTGTTCTCACTTTTTATGGGAAGAACATGTTAATAGTTTTTTGTATGCAGTTATCCCTACTCTTCCTTCCCACAAATGTACTTAACATTGTCAATAAAAGAAACTAGATAGGTTTTCTTACTCAGATTTCAATATTATAATATTAGATGATTAATAACTGTAAAAAGGCTAAATGATGTTGTTGTGCTAGATTTACTTATGCACTCATCTAGAAAATACATACATGTAAAATTTAAAATATCAATAGTTCAAGTTGTATCTTAACTAGGATTTTTATAGACTAATTTGTCATTATTATCTCTCACAAAACTTAATGCATGTTACATTTAGAAATTATTTTATATTTACTATCTTTTAGTGTTATAGTCTTTCATATTATTAAAGATATTTTCAAGAAAATGGAATGAAACCTGTCTCTCTTGTTAATATTGGTGCAGATTTTCATGCCAGGTCCTAATCCTCAATCTGCAGCATTGAGGATTATTCTTACCTGACAACTGTGGCATTTGAAGTAGGAAATGGCAAACTATTACTTCTGTTATGGCACTGTTTATGTGCCAGGCCCTCTGTTAGGTTGATGGGAATGTGAGACTAAATAAAATGTGGTCCCCTGCCCCAAAGCAGATCCCAGTGTACCAGGGAAGACAGGCATGGGTATAACTAATATGACGGGAACAAATTAGTATATAGCATCATTAATAGAAATATCTTATTAGAGGGAATCTTAGAAGACTTAGAATAATGCTGAATTATATATTGACATGTCAATTTAATCAAGCCTGTTTCTTCTAGATCTGTTTTTAAGCCTTTCATATTTGTGCCACATATTTCACAACTATTGGATACCAGTTCACCAACATTTGAATTTGAAGATCCACTTAAAAAGAATCCAGGCTTCAAGATTAAGCCTGACAGAAGACACCCACTCTACCAAAACCATCAACAGGCATTGGAAGTAATAGAAAATAATGAGGTACAATTAGATTATTTTCTCTGTTATATCATTAAGAATAACTTAAAGTGTGATTCAATTCATATTTTGAAACTTGGAGTGTCAGCTTTCTTTCCTTCCTTCATATAAAAAATAGGTTTTGAAATAGTGTAGATGCTCAGACTATAGTAGAGCTGTATTATTTTTTACCTTTAGTTAAGAATACATATGCTGTGAATCTTATACAGAAATTTAGTATATTAAACATAATAACAATAGCCAATATTTATTGAGCACTTACTATATACCATATTATTAAGTACCATAATACTTTTACATAGATTGTTTTATTTACTCTTACATTCACAACCACTTTATGAGATAGGTACCATTATTATCCACATTTTACTGATAAGGAACTGAGACTAGGAGAGTTTAAGTAACTTAGTGTATGTCCCACACCAAAAATTACAAGGCTTCTGAAGAGCAGTTAGCCTGGTCTCTTACATAATGGTCTTAGTCATGTAGCCCAAGATTAATATTAATTGAAAGTGACTTGAGACCCCATAGACTTAAAATAATAATAATAGTAATAATAATCAGTTGTAGTTTTATAGAAATGATATATGCTCCTTATTTTAAAATGTAAGCATTATAGAAGAGCAGTATAATCACCCAAAATCTCATCTCCAGATGTTTTTATTTTTTTCTGGCATAGATAGATAATTTTACAATATCCATACCTCTTTAGCCTTCCCTACCCCTCCCCGCTCCACCCCAGAGAAAAAGAATAGATAAGAAGGAAATGGGAGGGCTACCTACAGGCAGCCATCAATTGACTCAAGGCAACGAAGAAAAAGAGTGGCCAGTTTATATCTTTTCTTGACTGTTTCTACCACCTCCTGATTTTTCTTTCCTATAATTCCTTTTACTTTGTCAAAGCATACACATTTACATTCTTCCCACATTTAAATGAATTTTCCTCTAGGTAATTATTTATTTTTGTCTGTAGTATATTTGCCATACCTTTTTTTCCCTCCCTTATTTCACTTAGGCTTAAAACAAAGAGCTCTGCCAGACTTCCTGTTTGCTATGAATTCTTGATGCTGCTCCTGCTTTATGTGGGACCAGTTTGTTATCACTCTGACCTCCAGTCTAAACACAATTTTGTTGCTTGGTGGCATGGATTGAGGGGTAAGCACTAGGAGCCAATTTTGTGTACTGACTGGGGCCCAATCCACTGTGCCAGAGGTGTTATCTACTCCCTTTATCCTCCAAACTCAGAACAGTGCTGTGAACAACAATGAGCCCTTTGGTGCTTTGTGCCTTTGCTCAAGTCCCGTAGTGATATGTTTCAGGAGCTTCTACTCTGGAAGGATTTTCCTTTATTCTTCCTTGAGCAGCTTCCACACAGCCCTCATTACTTATGATAGTTCTCAAGAGTTGTCAGGTGCCTCTTTCCCCTTAGTACTGCTTCTGGGAGGTGAGTTTTGTACACTTAATACTAAACGTTTGTTAAACTAAATTAAATTGCTGATTGACATTTTTTGCAAAGTAATATTGAAATAAAAATTTTAAGGTTGTTACCGTTTTAGGCTTTATTTAACAGGCATTAAATGTTGATTGACAATATAAAGTAGGAGAAAGATAATGGAATTTGAGGAAAGAAGTGTCAAAGATCTGGGTTCTAGTCCTGGCTCTGCAAATACAGTACCTACTTTTATGTTTTAGGGAGAATCAATCCTACTGGTAGTTTAATTCACATTTTTTCGATTACTAGTGAGATTGGAAATCTTCTTCTTTGTTTATTGGTCATTAGTATTTCCTTTTAAATGCCTTGCCTATTTTTTTTAGCTTATTTTTCAATTGATTCTGGGTTTTAGGACTTTTTTGCCTCCAAGAGGCAAAAATATATGAATATTAACTCTTTGTTATAATGCAATTTTCATCTCAGTTTACTGTTGGACATTTAACTTTATTGTCAGACAGAAAATTTAAATTTAGTCAATTATATTTCTTAGTCTTTTCCTTTAGGGCATCTTGATTTCATGCTTCAAAAGGACTGCCTGAGCTCAAAATAAATATAACTTCTGTATTTTTTTCCAGAATGTATGTGTGTTTTAAAAAAAATTTAGGTCTTTAATCCGTCTGGAATTTACTTTTGTGTATGTCCTGAAGTAGGGATTTTAGTTTTGTTTTCCAAAAAAGTAACCAATTATTCTAATACCATTTATAGACAAAATCCACTTTTTCTCCACTGATATGAAATGCATTGTTTTCTCGGAAAAAAGTTGATTACAATTTCATATTGAAGTCCATGTTATGGTTTAGAATCTTTGTTTTGTGGAGTTCTGCTCCATATGGTTCAAATATTTTTAATTATGCTCACTTCCTAGTAACTTTTTTTTCCTATATACTTTTTCTCTCAGTACCTACCTGATAACTGATCATGGCAATACATCAACAATTTAAAAATTGCTCCTTTCTGTAAAGGTTATGGACCGTTTTTCCCCCTTCTTGAAAGAAGGAAGCCAGGGGCCGGCCCGGTGGCGCACTGCTACAGTGCGCCGCTTGGGAGCGCGGTGGCGCTCCCGCCGAGGGTTCGGATCCCACATACAGACCGGCCGCTCACTGGCTGAGCAAGGTGCGGGCGCAACACTGCGGGTTGCGATCCTGTTGCCGGTCCCGGTCCGGTACGGGCGCGACACAGAGGGTTGCGATCCGTTGCCGGTCACGAAAAAAGACAAAAAGAAAAAAAAAAAAAAAAAGAAAGAAGGAAGCCATAGAGAAAATGACTTTTCTTTTAGTTGCTTTTTTCCTTGAATATTACTGTTCTATTTCTTAAATCTAATAATACTGGTTTTAAATATAGTAGATCTAAATTCATAAAAATATCTCTGCCTCAATTTCCAGCAACCTTTCCCATGTACAATTAATATCAGATTTTCAATTGTCCTGTTGTCTTTCAGGTTTCTTGCTTATATACTAGTCCTATATAATTGTTCTTGTCTTTTCTACTAAAAGTAACTAAAAATTTGCTATTAATGATTAACTAAATCTAGAGCAGTGATTTTTCCCAAAGAATTTCATTCCTTCTATATCTAAAGAATAGGAGGGAAACAAAACCAGAGATAGAAACCAGAATGAACAAACCTGTCTGTAGAGGTAGGTTGGAATTTGGTTAGACTCGTGTGTGTTTGCGTGTGTGTTTACTTCTATATTTTTAATTTTTCAGGAAAAAGCCAAAACAATGTTGGATAACATGAGGAAACTGGAGGAAGAACTATTCAAAGAGATGGAATCAATCCTTCAAAATAAGCATCTTGATGTGGATAAAATCATTAATCTCTTTCCTCAGTGTACAAAAGATGAAATTAGAATTTACAAGTCAAATATTGGTTCTTAGTGATCATATAAATGGTCAGCAATCTTTCTCAAAGTCAGAATCTATTACCTTAGTAAGTGATAAAAAACTAGTTTGAACAGATCTGATTATTCTTTAATAGCATTCAAATGATGTCTTGACTATTAAAATGACATATAGTCTTGCTGAAATACTGAGAAAGAAAACACTGGAATTGGACACATATATTATGGGATAGCCAAGTGTTACTTTATGTGATGGACTTGCATTATTTTTTTTAGCCACAGTAACTTTTTTGTCATAATAATTAAGTATTCAATTCTGCATAAAGTATGAACCATTAAAATGATGCATGGATTTATGTTTATCATAATTATGTAGTACCCTCAAATCATTTTCTCAATTACATCAAGAAAGCAGATTTTTCTTTAGTAATGGAAAATATCTCAACTGGTGAGATTTTTGTGCTTTTGGCATTACCTAGCTCTAACAAAAAAAATTTCTAGATTTACACATTAAATCTTTGTCATTACAGTGTATTAATTTTGCAACTGCACTTTTATTAAACTCAAACATGCTCTTTGTCAAGAGTTGGCTGACCAGTGAGCTTGTAGCTGTTATTGTCCAGCATTTTTTGAGGCCATTCCCCTTTATGGGCTTTTATGTTAAGATATTTTTCAGAAGAGCTTGTCTGAGAGATTAGAGAATGGAATAAGAGAACCAAGAGCTTAGGAGACACTGTTTCTGTGTGTCAAATCTCTCTCATCTTTTACTTCTGTTCATTATGAACATTATAAATGAATATCTTCCCTAAGTTTATAAAACTTTGTTAAAGTTACAAGAAAATTACCAAGTAAGACTCAAAATTGTAAATATAAGCTAAAATCCAACTCAAAATAACATTTTTTGTTTCGAGAAATGTCCATTTTTGGTATTTGACTAATGTCCATTTGGTATTTGTTATCATTGCAATTAGGATTATAATAAAGAAGTGGGTCATTATATTTAAAGAGTGCCCAGGAATTTATTTTTAAAAAGTTCTCATAAAAACTGTGATCTGCCTAATATTGTTCTTGTCTATTACAGGGCTGCCATTACACAAAGGAAAAGATGTCTGACTCAAGTACTCAGTTGATTCTGTTTGCCTTATATATGGTTCAGTTATAGGTTGTCCCTAAATCATGAAGACCCCTGACCAAACCCTATTTTCCTCTCTCTCCCTCTCCTATCTCCCCCCTCAATATATAAGGGAACTAAGGGTAAGCAGTTCATTGATTTATCCAGGGATACATACTTGAATCTTATTTCTTTCTGTAGGTCCAGCATATTTTCGCTTTCTCCTTTATCACCACCCTGGACCAAACGAGGACCATCTCTCACCTGGACCTGCAGTGAACTGTTCTCCTGCACCCATTGTTGTTCTTTATTTCCATCCATGTAGGTAATGCTGCAAGAGTGATCTATTAAAATTTTAAATCTGATCACGCATTTCCCTCCTAAAACTCTTTTTATAAAAGTCAACTTTATTTTTTAGAGCAGTTTTAGGTTCACAGTAAAATTGAGCAGAAAGTACAGAGTTCCCATATTCCCTTGTCCCCACACATGCATAGCCTTCCCCACTATTAACATCCCAGCACCAGAGTGGTACCTTTGTTACAATCAATGAAACTGCATTGACACATTGCCACCCAAAATCCCTAGTTTATTAGAGGTAAACCTTGGTGGTGAACATTCTGTGTGAACAAATGTGTAATGACATGTATCTACCATTATAGTATATAAAATAGTTTAACTGCTCTAAAAATCTTCTGTGCTATGCCTATTCATCTTTCCCTTCCCCCCACCCCTAGCAACCACTGATCTTTTTACTATCTCCATAGTTTTGCCTTTTCCAGAATGTCATATAGTTGGAATCATACAGTATGTGGTCTTTTCAGATTGACTTCTTTAGCTTACTTAGTAATATGCATTTAAGTTTCCTCCTTGTCTTTTCATGGCTTATTAGCTCATTTTTTTTTAGTACTAAGTAATATTCCATTCTCTGGATATACCACTATTGGAGAACATCTTGGTTGCTTCCAAGTTTTGATAATTATGAGTAAACCTACTACAAACATACATGTGCAGGTTTCTGTGTAGACGTGTTTTCAACTCATTTTGAGGAAATACTGAGGAGCGCAATTGCTGGATCACATGGTAAGAGTATGTTTAGTTCTGTAAGAAGCTGCCAAATTGTCTTCTGGAGTGGCTACCATTTAGCATCCCCACCAGCAATGAGTGAGAGTTCCTGGTGCTTCACGTCCTTGCCAGCATTTGTTGTCATTGTCAGTGTTTTGGATTTTAGCCATTCTAATAGGTGTGTAGTGGTATCTCATTGTTTTAATTTGTAATACCCTGATGACATATGATGTGGAACATCTTTTCATTTGCTTATCTGTCATCTGTATATCTTCTTTGGTGAGGTGTCTGCTCAGATCTTTTGCCCATTTTTAAATCAGATTGTTCATTCTCTTATTGTTGAGTCTAAAACTCTTAAAGAGTTCCAGTCAAGATGGTGGAATAGACAGTCCCCAGCATCACTCTCTCCCACAAATCAACCAATTTACAACTATAAAAATGTAACAACAGCCAAGCTGGGTCCACTGGAGCTCAGGGGAAAAGGAGGAGAGACCCACAGAGTTCATGAAGGCAGGAGAAGCCACAATGAAAGAAGGAAAAAACTGCTGAGAGGGTTTCGGGCCATGGCCACTCTAAGGCTGGAGCTGCTGAGCACACGGAGCAGGAGCCAGCAGAAGCTGTAGCTGTGCTCTTTGGATGGAGTTGCTTGGAGGCAGCAGGGAAAAAGAGGGCCTTGGTGACCCCCAGGAGAGCAAGACCACTAATAGGGTTCCTGTAGAACCTCAGGAGTGAGGAGCCAGAACAGCTGAAAAGGGGAGCCATTCAGAGGCTGGTGAGTCATCACAAGGGACTGGCGCATGTCTTTCCCATGGGAAGTGTTTGGAGCATGGGCAGTGGGGGGGATGGGCCCACTGAGAGAACACTGGGACACAGCAAGGACAGCCAATCTGCCCCCCAGTCATCACAGGGCCACTGAGAGGAGACTGGTTGGGAATGCAGAATTGCATGGGGTGCAGTTTGATGAAAAAACTCAACCCCAGATCAGAGTTTCTAAACAACCCAGGTGCACTGGGTCTCTGGAGAGCTGGAAGTACCTATAAGGTCAACCATTAAACCCTGAGCTGCACAAAAAGCCTTCCCTAGGGAAACAGCAGCAAAGCAGCAATTTAGTTCAACCACACAGTTGAAGTACTGGTCCCTAGAGGAAGTTCCCCAGTTTTAGAAGTAAGCGAAGGACAAAAAATCAGTTCTGGCCCAAGCACACCACCAGCACCTTGGGGCCTGCCAGAAGACCTGAGGTATGGAGTTCAGGACCAGACCCCCTACACACACAACCAGGCACACTGCCAGAGCCTCAGGGCCCACCCAGAGGCCTGGGGCATGGATCCAGGGACCAGACCCCCCCTCACAACCAGACACACCACCAGTACCAAGGAGCATGCCAAAAACATCACCTCCATGTGAGTGGCCCACCACAGCCACCACAGTCACCATGGCTGCCGTGAAAGTAGCTAGACATCAACCACCATGCAGATGGTCCACCAGCCATTGGAGTGCATTGACACAAGGAGAGTCACCAGCAGAGACCAAAGGAAAAAAGAGGATGTCTCTCTCCACAAAGCCCATTCCAGAATGACAGAAGAAGCATCTGCTCTATGATAATCAGATGGTCCACCAGCCACTGGAGTGCATTGACACAAGGAGAGTCACCAGCAGAGACCAAAGGAAAAAAGAGGATGTCTCTCTCCACAAAGCCCATTCCAGAATGACAGAAGAAGCATCTGCTCTATGATAATACTGGGGGACCTGATCACACCTCTCAGCATTGGACAGATCATCTAGGCAACAAATCAACAGAGTTACTATTACTCTTTCAGAGGAAGAGAAGAAATCTATCAGTGATGGGAGCAGGGAGGGAGAGTGGGATAGGGAGAGATTGGACAAGGGGCATAAAGAATAAGTACAATTTGTAACAATATACATATTAGTAATACTGATTTGATCAAGATATGTCAGCATTGAATCCCCAAAATATGTATAGTCAATTATGATTCAATAAAAAAATTTTAAAAATTAAAAAAATAAAAGCCTCTTAAAGGCTCATTGTACTTAGGTCAAAGTCCCAGTCCTTAACAAATACCTGATCTATATTTTATATACCCTGTCTTTATTTTATTGCACTTTCACCATTGTTTAAGTTTCAACTATTCTGCTCTTTCAAGTCCTTAAATGTGCCCATTCCTTCCTCATGGCTGTACCTCTGCTGACACCATTCATTCATTCTATGGTGGGCCCTCCTACTCCCCACCCCCCTTTATATTAGTAGTTCTTTACCTCCTTTGAAGTTTTGCTGACACATGACTTCCTCAGGGAAGTTTTCCCCATACCACCAGGTCAGTTCTCCTGTACATACCCTTAGGACCACATGTGATCCTGATTACAAGTTAATTATATGTATAACACCTGTCTTTCATAGACTAGAAGCTCTATGAGGATAGGAATCATATTTGTTCCCACTGTTTGTGCTCAATGTTCAATATTGTGTCTGGCACATGCTAAGTTCTCAATATTTGTTAAATGAACATTTAAGTACTGATGGAAAGAATTTACACAGCCCTCTTCTCTGCCTGTGGAAATGTAAAGTTGAAAAAATTAGCTAGACAGTCTATTTGTACAACTTGGTATCCTTTGATAAGTCTTAAGTGAACCTGTTGCCTCTTTCCATATTAAAAATGGAAATAATAACTCTCTAGAGAAAGACAAGGATTATTACAAGGATATGTGAATTAATTTCTAAAACAGTTAAGAGACTTTCACTCTGTAAATCAAATATGGTAATTGAGCTGTGAGTACTTGTATGGGTAATTAATGCCTTGTGGTATATCTTAGAAAATTTAAGGTTCTTAAATTTCATCTGTATCTTAAGAGTAAAAAACATAGTAGCTGAAATTAAGCTTTTTTTTGGTCAACGTTTGAATTATATTATTATTTATAATTAACCAAGGGAACCAACCAGTGGAATAACCTAATAAACTGTGTTTTAGGGAAAGCTAGTTTGTTTGATCTTTGATGAAAACTTCAGTTTATATATTATAATCTTCAATCAAAAATTTTGCCCTGGAAATAATTATGCAGCCTAGAATTTTGTAAAGTTAGTTTCTTCTTGTAAAATTTGCCAATGACAGGTCTACAGAGTGAATGTTTTCTCTTTTTAGTTAATTACTTCAGGCTTTTATCATACTAATTACAGAAATTTATAATCCTGTCTTTTTCTGAAGAATGGTGATAAAATTTATGATCGTGAACTGTGTTTCCAACCATCACTGATCACATGACTACCTATACCCAGAAGTATAAAGTAATTTAATATTTTGTATGATATGAGATAAAAAGAGACAAAAACGAAGACCTACATTGTTCTGCATAGCCAACATGTAAAACGAGCTTAACAATTTTTTGCTTTTAGAAATTTACTTAAGGGCCAGGCTGTGGCTCACTTGGGAGAGTGTGGTGCTGATAACACCAAGGCCACAGGTTCAGATCTTATATAGGGGTGGCCGATTAGCTCACTGGCTGAGCGTGGTGCTGACAACACCAAGCCAAGAGTTAAGATCCCCTTACCAGTTATCTTAAAAAAAAAAAATTTACTTATCATTAAATGTGAAGTACACCTTATCTTCTAAAAATATTGAAAGCTCAGCACAAGTTAGGCATGGGATCATTCAAGGAAATTTTTTTTTTTTTAAATCTTTTTCTCTAAAATATTGAAAGCTCAGCACAAGTTAGGCATGGGATCATTCAAGGAAATTTTTTTTTTTTTTAAATCTTTTTCTCTTGACCAGTAAGGGGATCGCAACCCTCAGCACAGTATTGTCTGCACCACGCTCAGCCAGTGAGTGCACCGGCCATCCCTATATAGGATCCGAACCTGCTGCCTCAGCGCTACCAGCGCCACACTCTCCCGAGCAAGCCCCGGGGCTGGCCCCATTGAGATTTAAGAAAACAATTGACAATGCTGAAGATTAGTATAAAAGGGGTAGATTTTGTTTTATTTATTTATTTATTTATTTAAAAGATGACCGGTAAGGTGATCTTAACCCTTGACTTGGTGTTGTCAGCACCACGCTCTCCCAAGTGAGCCACGGGCCGGCCTTAAGGGGTAGATTTTAAAATTGTATCATTTTTCCAGCTGTGACCTTGCATACTAAAAATTATGAAATATATGAAAAGGACTCTACTGCCGTATTGACTCATTCTTTTTTTTTTTTTGGTGGCTGCTCAGTACAGGGATTCAAAACCTTGACCTTGGTGTTATCAGCACTCCCTTCTAACCAAGTGGGCTAACCAGCCAGTCCTCATACTGACTCATTCATAAAGTGTTTACTCAATGCATAACTGGGCAAGGCCCTGTATGTCGAACCCATAGTTTCATGAAGAATAGAACAATCTCAAGAAACCCATTTAAGAAAACATTAAAAACCTATAGAAAAGACTTCTATGATGGCTTCTACATTATTCATATTACTCAAAGAAAAGATGTCAGCAATGCAAATCAAATTAGGTATTTTATTGAGAAACTTGCTTTGTCAGTGAGAAAGTAACAGTTACAAATATTTTTATATGATAAAATTAGCATATCCTTAATTCTAAAAACGTCTCTTAAAAGCCTTTATTATCTGAAACTGCATATCATTCTGATCTGGGGTTTTCTTTTAGCGTGTCCCATGGAAAAAGATATTGCACATTCCATTTGTGCAAATAACAAAACATATGTAATATGACTTGTTCACAAACAAAACAAATTCTCCACTTGAGTTTGAGTTGCCTGCATGCATGTGAATTAATATCTCTATTACTGTAACTAAAAAGTCTCCAGGTACAGCAATGAGGCTTTACAGCTCCTCCTGAGCATTCAGAAAGTTCTAATATTGTCATATTAAAAAGAAAGGTTCCGTAGCAAGCCACTTCTGCTTAAAAACATCCCCATTCCCTAATCATAATTTAAAATTGATATAAGTTAATTCTACTATAAAGTATAATTTACTTGTTAAATACACTAGGCTTCCATGCGAGTTTTTAAAAATTATTCTCATATATTTGTTGCATTAAAAGGACAATGACATTAACCCTATAAATTATTTTCTAAATGGCTTTTATATATGAGACACTAAAAGTATGAGATAATTAAATATTTGAAACATGTTTTAAATTAGTTAAAGCAGCACTGACACCTAATAATTAAGTAGATGTTCAAAGGTCATGTGACTAGATCTCTTTTTAATTTACTCAAAATAGAGCTTATCTGAGGGTGCTATGGTCTAAATGTTTTGTGTCCCTCCAAAATTCATATGTTGGAATCTAATCCCTGATATGACAGTATTAGGAGGTGGGGGATCTTTGGGAGGTGACTAGGTCATGAACGTGGAGCCCTCATAAATGGGATTAGTGTCCTTATAAGGGGCTGAACAAACTACAGTTCTTTCCTTCCACCATGGGAGGCCACAGCAAGAAGGCAACATCTATGAACCAGAAATCAGTCCCTTATCTAATCTACTGGTTCCCTAATCCTGGACTTCCAGCCTCCAGAACTGTGAGAAATAAGTTTCTGTTGTTTTCTGTTTTTATAAGCTATCCAGTTTATGGTATTTTGTTATAGCAGCCTAAATGGACTGAGAGAGGGCAACATTTAGTAATTTAAAAATTTATAGATTTTTATACATGGACGTTTAATAAGAATTCTAAATGTAACAATCAGATGCTACATTTAGATTTTAAAATGTTGGCTTCAACTATATAGTGGTTTTGGGTTTTTGTTTTTGTTTTAACTTCAGAGAATAAAATAGAAAGGTTATCCTTCTGCATGGTGATGCTGTGTGCAAATACCAGAAACAATACATCACATGGCAGTAGTTTTGTTGATAAAATTTAAATGAATCCGCCCAAATTATTATTTGTAGTACAAAAGTTAAAGATCAGATTATATTTCTGTTGAAGGACTGTGGAGATAATATTTATGGAGGTTTTTATTCCCTTCCTAATGGTGCTTACTAGTACTTTGGATAGAAAAGAAAGAAAAGACAAACCTTAAAAAAATAATGCTTGTGGTTTTTAAATGAGTACTACTTGTCAAGGAAATGGAAAAAATAAAAAGAATAAGAACCTCTTATTAGAACCATTAACATTCTTTTTTAGGAGGTGCTATCAGTAAATAAATGTAAAGTTATCTTAATTTAAGGTCCACTTCCTGCCAGCAAGTGGCAATTTAAAGGAAAAGTTAATCAGATGTTGATTTTGAAATTATAGCAAACAGATGCAGAAAGCAATGATTTTAAAATGTTGGCACATTAGTATTATTTACAGTAATTATTATATTCATTATCAGAACTTCAAATTTTGATTTGGTTTTCTCTTTTTCCTAAGTTGGTTTCCTATGTGTTTTACATACACATAAAATCACAGACCCTTAGCATGGGGTGGGAATGCATCTTGTCAAATTTTGTCGAACAGGCAACTGAGGCTTAGGTTGTAACTTGCCTAAGGTCACACAGCTAAAATGTAACACATCTGGGACTAGAACATGATTCCTTATGGGGTTCTCCCCTTCATAATTTAGGTCTTACGGGAAAGTGAGGAGGGGGATGAATGTTCAATTTCTTTATATCTTTCTTGTTGCGAGGTGTTTGCATTAATAACAGGAGGACTCTGTTCAGGATTCTTCTGAAGAAATCTGTAAAACAAGTACTCATCCCGAAATTCATATTCGTTGGTAATATGTTGGATGACTCCGCCTTGCACCAGTCTATCTCCGTATATCACAGCTTCACCACGGTCAGAGGCAAGGCCAACTTCAATTAGCCAGTTCACCAGGTCATAGCCACAGAAGGTCCCAGCAGAAGTCTTTGCACCACACCTGTATGTCAAAGGAATGATTCACCCATATGTTCTGTAAATCTGGTATCAGCACTGCATGATAGAGGACAAGCAAGGAAAAATAGAAGGAAACAAGGAAAGACAGCATGACAGTTAAAAGTATGGCAGGAATGAAAGTTCTGAATATAAAGGGTTTGCAAACTCATCTGACTCAAGAAACACCCACTGGAGAAAAATAAAATATGCCAATAATGCTTGTGAAAAAGAAACGTTTAAATGGTAACCAAAAATGACATAGGTAATATAAATGCATCTACAAGGAAATATTTTTTTTATAGTAGCATGGCCTTTTGTGATTAGATCTATCCTATAGATGGCTGAATATTATATATTTCAAATTTATACTCTTATACTAGGTAATTGTCTCAGAAACATTAAATATTTTTCACAAGCTCTTGATAAGTGACTATTTCCACTAAACTCAGTTTATTTTCAGCTCCATATATACCATATATATATATATATATATATATATATAAATACATGTATACACTATATATATATCATAATGCCCACAAGTAGCCTTTCTTCTTACCCTCAGCAGTCAAGAAAATTTTCCACTAAACTCAGTTTATTTTCAGCTCCATATATACCATATATATATATATATATATATAAATACATGTATGCACTATATATATATCATAATGCCCACAAGTAGCCTTTCTTCTTACCCTCAGCAGTCAAGAAAATCATATTGATGTGTTTGTCAGGAATTTGCTTCAATAGGAAGCTAGGAAATGATAAGTAAGATCTGTCTTGCTACAAATCTAAGATTTAAAAATGTACTTTGGTTATGAATCTACTTCTTGATTGTTTAAAATTTGTCTTCCTAAAGCAAATATGGGGTGCCTTAAATATGAGCAAATAAACAAGAGAAAGAGAAATGCAAAAGAAAAAATTACATTAATTCTGTACATTTTCATACAAATATGCAACAGACAACATGAATCTGTCCACAAACATCGTTCAAGCTATAAAACCTAAAGTGCCTTACAACAGGAGACAATGGATGAAGATCAAGATGAAATGAGAAATAGGTGACAAAAATGTTAAAGTATTTAAGCATAAATGAATATACACTAAAGTTTCATATAAAAAATAGAAAAAAGGTTAATATACATGAGAAATTTTCTCAAGTACGTAAAATCACAATAATTTAACATCAGTATTTCACTTAGTGATATCTTAATTTATGTTTTGCATCTACAAACATCACTTTTAACAAAAGCCTGAATATTACAACCTGTGTCTGAGCCTTCTTGCTGCTCTATGATTTTTAATTTATAGCTTAACACCTTCCATCCTATACACCAACTGAATAATATCTTTCCTGATGACTGTGATTAGGCAGCTGTAACAACAGCCCTTGGAGTTGTACAGAGTGGCAGAGAATGTGATGCTGCACAGGCTGTAGAGCCTGGAAAGACATGAAACAGGCCAGCATACCACCAGCCAGTGCCCGTTCAGCCATCTGGAACTGAGGCAGCCTGGCAGAACTGTAAATGGCAAGAGCTATGCTTCCTGACAGTTGTCAATCATAATGGGCCTGACAGAGCTAATGTGGAGTTCTCTCTTTTAATTTTAAAAAGCAATTTTAAATTGCTATCCGTAGGTGGTACTTTGAAATAATTGTCTTGGCCTTATAGGAGTGGAAAACTGACTTTTCTACATAGTTTACCATTGCTGGAAAATGGGCCAGCCCCATCACATATTATCATCTAATTCAAACAACCCTGAGAATCAGGTATTTTAAAGAAGAGGGAAACTGAGGTTTAGAGAATTGAACTTGCCCAATGTCACACAGCAAATAAGTAGCAGTTTAGGAGCTGAGTTCTAGTCCACCCCCAGAAAATCCCCTTTCCACTATGTATACCAGACTACCTTCTGATAATAATGACACATCTATTAAATATAGTGGCATAATATATATAAATAATCCCAAATAGTAATTTTCATAAATTTCCAAATTTTCAGTTATACATATAAAAGTATTAGGTTCTTTATGTTTTGTTTTCTTTTGTTTTCTCTTTTATGACAACCAAAACTATTGGCGCTATAGCATTTGTTTATTCATCATATCCTACCACATACTCCAACTACATACTTGCAGATTAGAAGAATAAGTATAATATCACGGACTAAAGATTAGGACTCGAGGTGAAATATAAACAGCAGAATTAATTAAGAGGCAGAAATTTCATTTCATTTTCTTGACAACAGCAGTCTTAATATGCAATAACATACATTTAGGAAATGGGAATATAAAATCATTTCTAAATCCAATGTATCTCAAAGTTTTGTGAGAGACACCAATGGCCAATATGAAGTGAATGTTTTTTGTTTTTTGTTTTTTTAAAGATGACTAGTAAGGGGATCTCAACCCTTGGCTTGGTGTTGTCAGCACCATGCTCAGCCAGTGAGCTAACCGGCCATCCCTATATAGGATCCAAACCCATGGCCTTGGTGTTATCAGCACCACACTCTCCCGAGTGAGCCACGGGCCAGCCTGAAGTGACTGTTAATATGCTACAACATTTTGGTTCATTCTTTTTTTTTTTTTTTTTTGTCTTTTTGTCTTTTTCCATGTCCGGCAATGGATCGCAACCCTCAGTGTTGCCCCCGTACCGGACCGGGGACCGGCAACGG